AAATGGATTTTAAATGTGGGTCAAGATCGGCCATACTTATGTGGCCCACATATCTATATTTGACATCTGGGCCAAATACTACATTTGACATATGGCCCATGTCTAGTGTGCCGTCTTAAACCCGGTACCATCTCTGCCAAACCCGGGCCATGTTTGGCCCACATGCTGTATGCCAGTGCCGGATGAATGCCAGCTGTACCAGGTGCATGCCAAATCTAGGCCAAATTTGTTTGCTGACTGGGCGCTGTTGGACGGGCCGGCACTGGTAGCGAGTTCTAAAGGTTTCATATTTATTACATTATTTATTGTAGTTTCTATTTTGTATTATTTTTATTTTATTATTATATTATTATTTTATTATTATTTTATTATTATTTTATATTTTATTTATTTTTAATATATATATATATATATACTTTTTTTTTTTTTACTCTATTGTTTATATGAAGCAAAACTCTAGCCATAGTACTTATAATGCATAACTAACTCAAGTTCACCTCTCAAAAGTAGTCCTGCTGTTAAAAAGACAATTTTTCATCTCAAATAGCTTTTGCAAATGTCACAGATGCTGGTGATAGTGCTAAACTTAACCAAGAATATTCTTTGAATTAGGAAGGTCAGACTCCCCCAAACCCACTCTGATTGGATCATTCTATTTGTTTATAAGTGAAAGCAATCATGTGTTGATGGAGCATTGTTCTGTGTGCATGTGCCATTTAGCTGGGTGTTGATGGGTTGATGTATTTTTTTTTGGCTGTGAATTAGGTGTGATGTTTTTTGGTGGAGTGTGTAAGTATTTTGGTTGTGTGGGTGTGGAGTCACAGGACAAGTGTGTGCATGTGTGTGTGTTTGAGGGTCTGAGCTTGTACACTTCTTTCCTTTTTCCATCCTAATTTTCAAAACACCTCATCTGTTCACACTCTCTTTGGGAACTGAATGCGTGATTATTCGTCAATGAATCATTCTTAATTTCTTATAAAAAGATTCTTGATTCAGTTTAACTAATGACACTCATTTTAATCTGTCGACATTTAGCAAAGTGCAAGCAACCAGCCAGAACACTGTCTAGTAAACTGGAAAATGCAGTGAGCCAGATTCAAACTCCTATTGCCTGCATGAGCACCAAAGCTCATTGTGTCAGAGAAAATGCACTAACTGCTAGGCAATGGTTCAGACTTAATACATAGATGTCAAGTTTGACTCAGTGGACTTTGCAGGTTCCTCTGTGTGTGTGTGTGTGTGTGTGTGTGTGTGGTGATGGAAAGAGACCCATCTGTTGGATTTGCCCCACTGCTGGCCAGGAAGCAGTTTCAATCTGTTGACCCCTGTTTGTTCTGAACTTTGTCCCGTTCCTCATCTGTGTGTTTGGTGCCAGCTGGCTGTCAGCTCATTTGATGGTGATTCTAAGCGCGCGGATACACTGAGGTGTGTGATTAAAATAGATCGGCATTCATCTTATCAACATGCAGCCAATAAAATGGCGTACAACAATTAGGCAGCTGCAGACTGCTGTTTGTTTTTAAATGAAAACAGTCAGGGATATGAAATCTGTCTTCTTTTTAGAAACCCAAAAGTTTCTTTCTAAGCTCAGGAAACACAAGTTCTCGATTAAGTAAATAGGGAGAATTTTGATTAGAAATTTTGGAGCTCATAATGAAATTAATTGCAGACTTTTGCTATTTGACTACACCTGAATTGCTTTCATCCAATTATTATTATTATTATTATTATGTTATTTAATTACATTTTTTATTGATTTATTTTGCAGAAGAAGGTTTACCACATCAAAATGTTTAACTTTAGCACATAAATTCTATGTTGATGCTTCAAATATTGCAAAAACACTTTTTAATGAGAACTCAAATTAATATTGTGTCACATGACAGAATTAGCCTACAATCAGCACCCATGTTCATAATGTTGCTCCTGTTAAAGCGCTGTTTGTATTTGTAATGTAATATGTAATTTAATTTATGGACCCTAAAAATTATTAATTATATAATTATACAATTTTATTTTATTTTTTTCTTACAGGACAATACAAAAAGCTGCTCCACTTTGCTGTCATCTTCTGATATTTTAATTTAAATCATCTACTATTTTACAAAGATTTGGGATATGAACGAAACAATATAATTTGCGATATTCACAAAATTATGTATGTAAATGGCTTCGTTAACAGACTGGAGACAGCAAATTTCACTATTTTTATGCATTTTCATTTAGTCTATTACAGAATCGCACAAAAAGTGGTTGGAGACTTCATTTTGAGTTCTCTTCTGAAATGTATGAAATTATTAAAGTCTTTTACACAGGAAAATCTGAGAAGCAGAAGACTTTGGCAAAGATCTCTATGTGCCAAGGAGAAGCATTTGAGAAATGAAAGAGATCTGGTTTGTGATTTCTCTTTCCTCTGGGTCTCTTTCTCCGTGTCCTGCTCCTGTGCCAGACACATCTGTAAGTCTCCCTTGATTGTTAGACAGACTCAAGGTCCAGCCGTATAACTGTGACTGTAGTCATTTTAAAAATGAATAAATGAGCATTGAGAGGATCTCATCCATTAGGAGGAGCAATTTGTCAACATGACCCAGTCTCTCGGGCCTCGTCGGAGGAAGACAATGTGGGAAAGGAGAGAGCTGGGCATCCCTGTTTGTGATTATCAGATGAGCTCTGAGTCCTGGAGCCTCTTCAGCCCAGTATCTGGGTCAGGCAGGAAGAATGTCTGAGGGTGGAATGACATCTCTCTCTTTCTCTTGGTCCCTCTACGCCTTCTCCAATTTGAGCCATGAAATTCCCACAAAAATATATGATAACTCAAGAATGGTCTCGCTTGCTCTCCCTCATTTGGCCTATTTTTCTCTCTCGGCTTTTCTCATATATTTCTGCATGTATGGTTTCTCTCGTAATCTCTTTTGTATGCCTGCTGCCGGATCTCAGTCTTGCTGCAGAACTTGTGGTGTCCAGAAACTCTGAGAACTTCATATATTATGTGTGAGACTGACATTTTCTGAAGGAGGAGGAAGACAAACAGACCAGAAAATGATTGATTGAGAGATCTATCTAATTTGCAGTATCTATTGTTCATGTACCATGGTATTTCCATGGTCTTAGCATGGTATATGTCTGTAAAACTATGGTAACATGATACATGTTCAAATATCATGCTTTTTAGTACGGTTTTTGGGATGGCAATAAAATGCAATTAAATATACTTTTCTATGGAAATTTGTTGTAGTACACATACGCCAAATACTGTTGTTCTGCTTCGAATTATTATAAATGACAAAATATGTATAAATTAGGCATTAAATTATATTCTCCTTCACACTATATAAATAGAGCAATAAATAATAAAAACATGAGATTATTAAGCAATAAATTAACATAAAAATGTATAAAACATAGTTGTATTCCAAATTATGCACTATACAGTTATACACTGTACTTATGCACTATGATGTAGTCAAATGTGTAGTGAATGAATATACGATTATTTTGTCATTCGTTGTATTCTAATAGCTCCTTCCCATCCTTTACATAATTAAAGCTGCAACAGTTTAGAACAAGAAGTGTTCAACATTCGATACATGTTTTTTTGTTTGTTTTTTTTTTATTAATTAAGTGCATCCAGGTATTTAAAGTGCATTTCGGTTTATAATTTTCAGTGTAAACGAACTACTTGCACTATTTATACTACAAAACAGCATTGAATAGTGCATTAATATGCAAATTGGGACGCACCTATTATGAAAGATTAAATAGCTGAGGTGTGATGAAGTTGTTTGTGTGTGTACATCCTCCAGGTAAACCTGCGTACCTTCACATCGGAGAGGAGGTGGACGGTGTGGACATGCGGGCAGAGGTCGGACTGCTGACTCGCAACATTTTGATCAGAGGTGAGATGGAGCCGACCTGTTACGGCAATGAAGCCTGCAAGTTCTTCTCCTTCGACACGTTTGGTGGCCATCTTAAGGTAACTCAACCCTCCTTTCACTTCAAACACAAATTTCTCTGTTAAATACGATCTACCGTTGTCTTGTAATTCCTTTATCTGTCCACTAGCTCATCCGAACATAGATGTGTCAGGGAAAAACACTGATTCAATTTGCAGGTTCAACTCAAATTTATTTGAATCTCAAAACACAAAACTCGGCTGGGACTGCAGACCAGAAGCCGTAATTCAGGGCAGTGATTAGAGACAGGAAGAGGGGAACAGTCCAAACGAGCCTCCAGTCACTCCCAGAGGCAGAGAGGGTAAGGCGTAGGGAGATCAGCGCACACAGTCCCAGCGTCAATGCTGACGCAACGTCAGAGTGGAGAGGGAACCGCGCACGGAGTCCAAGCGTCGGTACTGACGCAACGTCGGGGCAGAGAGTTCCTTGTAGAGTGCGCCGAGAGGGGCAGGAGAGGAGAGGCCGTGAAGCGCGGTTCTGGTAATGTCAGGGCAGGAACTGGGGAACAGAAAACTGGTGACTGAACTGAAAACACTAAACTGTACTTGGAGCCTATGAAAACATGGCAGGACAAGAACACAACAAGACTGGTAGTAGGTCACGAACGAAGAGTAGCGTGTTCACACCACAACGGTCAGACACAAGACTACACACGAGGGGAACTTAAAAAGAGGGAGAATTAAGGAATAAACAAGCCACTGGAATTAACAAGCCACAGGTGTGACGGCAGCTAAAGTAGTTAATAAGATAACGATGGGGAGGGAAACCACGAAGACAAATGAGCACATGGCGAACTGTCAAAACAGACAAAAACAACAACAACCTGCTGATCAGACCGAAGTCATGACAAGATGTTCACACCCTCAGAATGAGATATCACAGCGATGGCACCTCTAGCTAGACATTAACACTCTGTCAAACTAGCAGAACGGACATTTTATTTTTGCTTTGTCTCCTGCGAAGGGCCTGTCAGTGTGCGTGTGTGTGTGTACGTGATGGGGCGACTCAAGAGTCTGACCTCTCTAGTAATTGGCCCAGATCTGACTGTTCCTTTTCCCCTCCTCACCTTCGCTGTCATGCAGAAGGTTGGCCCATTTTTTCCACTCAAGAAGAAATTTCCATGTGCAACAACTAGGCCATCCTGTCTTTCAAGTTGTGAGGAAACTGCTTTTGACAAAACCTGCCTCACAGTAATGATTTTACAAGTGATAAATGTTAAAATAAGTAAATTGATGTAATTCTTGCTAATAAAGTATAGTAGCCCAAAAATATAAATTCTGTCATCGTTTACTAAACCTCACATCCTTCCAAATCCAAATGGCTCTCAACAGTGTACTTGTATTAGCATGTATTACTTAAATAATTACTGCTAGGATATTTCATTTCACAGACTATTTTGAAGTCTTTGAGGCATTGTTTTTGTTTTTGTTTTTGTTCATGTTTATTGTTTGTTTTTAGTCTCCACCTAGAAGTAACAGTTTAACAACACCCTAGAAACCAGATAGAATATTCTAGAACCTCCTTAGCAACCACTCAGAACAACTAGGGCTGCAACAGATGAATATTTTGATAATCGATTAATCTAAAGATTATTAGAACGATTAATCAACGAATCGCCAATTATTTCACATATTAATCAGTAGGCATTGATCGATTATTCAGCTTTTGTAATTCATTCAAATATTGAGTTATACATATTATATGTATAATATGTATAATTATTTAGTCTGATAAATTATTTAGTCTGATAAATGACTAAATAAATATTCTAAACATTTTAATATACATATAAAGCTGGTTTAAAGCAGAAAATCAAGTTGTAATTTCAAATGAAATGACACTAACACTGTTTTTCATGTTTAATAAAGTAAAACTGTGTGCTTTAAAGTAGTCTATTGTATAACGCGCCATATGAATAGATGCTACGTGAATTTGCTGGATTGCCGATTGCAGTGCAACATCGCTATGATCAGATGCTTTCTTAACTGCTGTTTTCTCACTGCTGTCATGTTTATGTGTTTATTTTGCTATTGAGAGAAAAGCACACATACATCTAAATGCCGCTCTCAGCAGCGTCGGGATGTTGACTAACAGTAAACCGCTGCTTGCTTATATCAAACTTCTTTTTTCCCCTAAACGAAGAACTAAAAAGAACTTCGCCATGAGTGTTTTGGAGCCTTCACACGACAGCATTTTCTGTTTGTAGTTTTGTAATACTTTCCCAAACTATTTTTTCAAGTTTATTTGTATAGCGCTTTTCACGATACAAATCGTTGCAAAGCAACTTTACAGAAAATTAAGTTTCTACAATATATTTAGTAGTAGCTTATCAGTGGTGAATGTCAGTCAATGTACTTATGGCAGAAATGTACGTAAAATCAATTAAAGACGTAATCAAACAGACGATGAACACTATTAACAGCAATTATTATATGATGCAATCAAACTTATAATTTTAGAAGAAAATTTCAGATGGCACTTAAGAGGCTTTTGCACTGACACCTTTACTTCCCGCCCCTGCATATATTCACGCATAGACTGGCGTGTATGTCTCAGATCTTATTCCGAAAGGGTGATGATATTTACATTCCTCACTTTTGAAGTTCTTTCATCTAGATTCTCGAGTTTCAGATTTCGAATTTCCATATTAAGGAGCACAGCTTGCATAGACCCTGTGACCACTTGTGATCGGATCACTCAACTAGGATATTAATACAAAATTAATGGAATGGAATATTTTTTTGTTTGTTTCAGGGATTCAAAAACTTTTTTTGTCAGCCGAACCCCTTTGACTTAAAATATTTACTTGAAACTCTGAAAAAAGTTGGCGTAGAAACAATTTTCACTCAGAAATTGCTAGTAAATTTCAGAATTAATTACAAAGAAATGCTAAGTAAGACACTGAATTAAACATGAAATTTTTAAGTAGAAAGACTGAAATAGTTTTCTTGTAAAACTTACTCCAGTGATTTTTTATTTAATTTACAACTTTGAAAATTTATTTTTTACAGTGAAGTACTTTTTTATGATTTTAAATTAATGTTTCAATAATTCAACAACACACTTGCATGTTCAAGTTTTTCTGAGGTCAGTTAATGGTCGCATATATGGAAGCATGTTTCCGCCACAGAATAAAAAAAAGGTAGTTGCAACTTTTTAACTCAAAATTCTGACTTTTTTCTTGCAATTCTGCTTTGCTTTCTCGCAAATTCTGATTTCACACTTCACAATTCTGACATTTTTATTCTGAGTTTACATTTTGTAATTCTGACTTTTTTCTCAGAATTCTGAGTATGCATCTCACAGTTCATCTTGATGAACAACTTTCAAGGATTAACGATGCTGATAACGAATGGTCCTTAACGAAACGAGGATCAGAACGGAGAACTTACTTGTTGTACAACACGATGTCTGGCTTCCAAATCTTGTTCGACGGCACACGGATGAACTCAACGCCTCCGAAATCCTTGGGATTCCACCTGAGCTTATAATCGTTCCAAATCTAGGAAAAGTAGAAACACTCAGAAAAAAAAATGAGTTTCTGCAACTGAATAAAAAAGGTAATTGCAACTGTTTTTATCTCACAGTTCTGACAGTTCTGCAATTCTTGCAATTCTGACCTTTTTTCCCTCAGAACTGCAAAAAAAAAGTCGCAATTGTGAGATATGAACTCAAAATTGCAATAAAGAAGTCCAAATTATGAGATAAAAGTTGCAATTAGCTTCCATACAAACATGACATACAGGTAAACTAGTACATATTTTTTTTGCACCCAAGACAGATATGAATATGATTAAAAGCCATAAATAGCACTAAAGTCAAAAATAGCACAAAAGAGTGAATTTTCCTGTCTCTTATGTTTTATTCTTCAGGCAGAGCGAGGTTTCTGCTCGGTGCATGTGGAAGGGGTGGAGTTTAAGCACATGGGGCAGCAGTCTATGGGTCACTACCCAGTCCACTTCCATATGAACGGGGATGTGGATGAGAAGGGAGGCTACGACCCGCCAACTTATGTGAAAGACCTGTCCATTCATCACACCTTCTCCCGATGCGTCACAGTCCACGGCACCAACGGCCTGCTGGTGAGTTTCAGACACAGAGGTTATGTGTGCTTGAAGACAGCCATAATGAGTCTCTGCTGCAACATTAATAGAATGGAATCTTTAGTGCTTTATTTTGATAGAATGGAATCTTTTGTTTATCATTCCCTCAGTCTTCACACAGCATTGGCATAGAACTACTGGGACACAATATTTACTCGAAATTCACTGAAACAGTAAAACATATCTAAGCATCCATAAAACAACAAAATTATTTGAGAAGCAAAATATATAAGATAAGACTTAATATAAGACTTTTCAGACAATGTATCCTGAATTAAGTTTTCTCAACCCAGTGACAAATAGTTTTTCCTTTTACTTTAAGTATAAACTGTGCGCACGATTTACTAATTCGTTCCCTCGATGTACTAAAACGTGCACACGATTACTATTTCGTTCCCTCGATTTGCTAAATCGTGCGTACAATTTACTAAATTGCTTTCTTGTGCACGACTTAGCAAATCGAGGGAACGAATTAGTACATTTTCACGATTTAGCCTACTATTTATTTCCTGCATGCCATGTGCGGGGCTCCGTAATAAACTAATCTAGTGAGTTGGCAAACAATTTGCCAATGAAGTATGAAAAATAAATCACATTAATGGTGCATACCTGAAAAAGTAGTTTAAGACAGGTTAAAAAAGTTAACAAGATGGATGGATGGATTAGTATATAAATCTAAACATCTTTAAAACATGAAAAGTACATTTGAACATTTTTATTTTGTATGAATATCTTAAAATGCTTAAAACAAGATAAATGTACTTGAATATATATTTTTTAAATTTCTTTAAATATCTAAAAATCCCTTAGTCAAGATAAATTTACTCGAGAAGCTCATTTTAATTTAACATTTTTTATTTTGTATCAGTATCTAAAAATTCTAAAACAAAATCAATTTACTTGAGAAACATTTTTATCTGTATAAATACGTAAAATACTTCAAACACGATACATTTTCTTGAGAAGAAAAAAATAACACATTTTTAGAGAATGGATTTTGAATTAAGCTTTTTGTAACCCTTTTACGTAACCAAGACTGGTAGTTTAAGAGCAGAAAGCCTGAAAAGATGAAGTCTATAAAACCTCAATATGGCTGAATGCCTTCCTGCAGTAGCTGCTCCTCCATTCTTAGTGATCTCTAGCTGTCAATCATCTGTCTGATTTTGATTGACAGGCCACACCCCTTCACTCTTTGCGAGACTTAAATTGAAGCTTTAGGGATGGAAAACAGGCAAGTCAGGAAACTAAATCTTGTAGTCAAACCTTGTAATTGACTTTCTGTTTCACACTTACATGATATCCAGCTGTTTTGCTGATAGTGGTGCCATCTAGTATTGTTTACATCATAGCAGAGCTGAAAAGATTACTTGGCTTCTTTTGACTCGATCTAGTTAAATGAAATATGGATTGTCAGAGCTCAACAGAACAGGAATGTGAATCTGCAATTTATTGCGTCGCAGTCCATCCTTGGTTTTTCTAAAGCGCGGAGCTGCTGTTCAAACACTTTTCAAAGATGTTGGAGCGCTGCTGTAAACTGCTTTATTTTCTTCACAGGAGACGAGGTGAACAGTTACGGCACACTGAAGCCGCATTATTCGTTCGTGATAGCATGCTACGATTTTATTTTGGAGCCGGCGGGGGGGATGCACCAACCTCAGAGCTCTGACGCGAATAACTCTTTGACGAGGGTCGCCTCTAATGCGTTTAACAAGGCTAAATGTTCTTCTGCCCAGCAGTAGTTGTATCACACACTGAGGTAGTTTACAATTCACCTATTTCTTTGACAGGATTAATGGAATTGCTTTCAGTCCCAAAAACCATGTTTGTTTGCCAGCACTCACTGAGCAAATGATGTTTCCATCAGCATCGTATTTGATGGCAAAAAGTGCAGCATTTCAGCTTCACCTGAGGCTTTTAGAAATGTGCATTCACAGCAGGTGTTCGAAAATAGAAGATAGCTGACATATTTTATGGAAACATCTTGTAGTGGTTTTTATGTTGAGTTGTTGGTTACCATGAGCATTACATGAAGGAATAGAAATTATGAGGATTTTGACATGGTTTACTCACCTTCATGTCCTTCCAAAGCAGTGTTTCTTCCACAGCATGCAAAAAGTGATGGATGTCCAAACTTTGCGGATAGGGTTTTAAACTGACACAATTCATAAAAGCAAAATAAAAGTTGTCGATATGACTTGTGCGCTATATTTTCACCATCTGGTGCTGCTCGTGTGGCAGTCAAATGTTTTTTTTTTATTTCACTGAAATAAATGTACTATATACATTGTTATTTAATATTTTGTATTTTTAGGGGATTTTATAGTACTAAATTATATTTATTGAATAGTTATGATCCATTTATTAACTGTTAACCACTTTTTAAGCATAGACCTGAAAATAAAATTTCCAGCATATACTATCGTAAACCTTGAATGCATTTAAGTCATAGAAGCATAATTTTGTTATTATGAAAAATGCACAAAATACTATTTTTATTTATTTAGTTAGTTTTAGTCTAGAACTGTGTGAAAATCAAACCCATAAATCTTTTAAAACCCAAAAGTCGTGTTCCAAATTTGAGGTTGATATCTAAAAAAAAATAGTTTTCAGTAAGTTTTTGTTTGTGCGCAGTACCAAACTTTTCCACTGTATGAAATTCACTTCCTATTCAGGTCCAATGTGGGCATTTTTGACTGCGAACAAAACAAGTTTTTTTTTTTTTCAAGACCATTTAACCCTTTTTTGTGTGTGCACACATAGCAAGTGCCAAAACCTTTACCAAGTTTCGTACCATTCAGATGAAGTAAAAAAAAAAAAAATTTAAATTTTTTTTTTTATTATTTATTTATTTATTTTGGTTAAAATGACAGAATAGCACCAGAGGGTTAAGTCTTCTAAAGCTGTTTTTGACTGAAAATATTGACAGATGAAGACCTCTCTGCTTCCCTTTTTGATTCTTTTTAATAATTTGATTAATTTGGGTATTCTTTTAGTTAGTTTTCACTCGTCTTGATGTGAAGTTGTTTTCATTTGTACTCAGGAATAAAGTAGCCATGATTTAACATGTGCATAACATAGCCATGATTTAACATGAGCATTACATGAAGGAATAGAAAATATGAGAATTTTGTCATTGTTTACTCACCTTCATGTTCTTCCAAACCTGTGTGTTTCTTTCATTGTGTTTAATGGATGTCCATACTTTGTGGATGGGGATTTAAACTATCAAGCTTCAAAATACAGCCTTAAATTTGTCAATATGACTCTCCATGCTCCATTTGCTCCATATTTTAATTTTTTTAAAGCCATTTTTCATGAGAAATATTCACAGGCGAAAAACCCTCTACTTCTATTTTTGATTCTGATACATTTCTTCTGTTACATGCAAAAGAAGATGTTGGATGGATATCAAAACTTTGTGGATGGGGATTTAAACTATCAAGCTTCACAAAGCAGCATAAAATTGATCAATAAAGCTCGTCTGCTATATTTTAAGCCGTTTTAAATGAAAATATTCACAGATGAAGACTCTCTTTTTCCATTTTTGATTCCGATTGATTTTAACAGTAAATGATAAGTCCTTGGGTATTCTCTTAGTTAGGTTTCACTTTTCTTTATGTGAAGTTTTCATTATTTGCCCTCATTGCAGTTGCTAAAAACCTCATCTTCTATCTTCTAATGTTGTTAATTTCCCATTAGGTGAAGGATGTTGTCGGCTATGATGCTTTAGGACACTGTTTCTTCACTGAGGATGGACCGGAGGAGAGGAACACGTTTGACCATTGTCTGGGTCTGCTGGTGAAGGCGAGCACACTGCTGCCCTCCGACCGAGACAGCAAGATGTGCCGGGACATAACCAACGGAGCTTATCCTGGATACGTGGCCAAACCGCGCCAGGACTGCAGGTAAAACTCACTGAATGAATGGTGTGGATGATTTTACCTCAAGAAACCAAGAAAACTAAAATTGAAAGAATATTTGTCAAAGTAATTGCAATATGGCTGTCATGCAGCAAATCGTGCAGCTCTAATTTTTTGTATCGTTAAGAGATGCCGTAGCCATCATCATTGTACTATCTACATTCTGTTGACTCATGCCTCTAACAAACCCTTTTTTAGTTGATTTCTCACTCTCGCTGGTATTCTTTAATCAAGGTTTCCTCTTAAGAAAGCAACAACACAACATGCAGTCGCACTGATGATCGTTTCCGCCCGAGCTCATTATTGTGTAATGATTTTTATCCTAAGATGCACTCGCATTCTTAGAACCTCAGATAATCTTTGCTAATTAAAATAACAACATCCCCACATTAAGAAACCCTGCTAAACTCTGGCAGCGAAACTGTCTGGGTTGGGAAAACTAGGGTTTGGTGTTGACAGTAAATATGTTTAAATTGTACCGCAGAGTTGCCGAGAGCGGGGAGTTGCTTTGAAGTGCGGTTATGTGTGTGGCGTTAGGATGAGGTGAATACTTATGGAATTGAATCCTTCATTTTTAACGATGTCTAGTTATACATCTTAAGAACGGCACCAACGCGACACAAACACGTAAACAGGCAACAGATGCTTTTTTTCCCCACACGGATGTTTATCTTCATGCAAACACCTTTTCAGTGCATTTAGACCGGTTCCGTGTAGCATGTGGAATGAACCGGCTTCCAAATCGTTAGGGCATCAAATTGCATTAAATTGCTAATTGCTCTCATATATATTGCATGAACGGCGCACCTTTTAGATTGAAATTCGGTCGATAGAGAGGATAAAGCTAAGCAGCTCTTAAATGATAGAGGAAGACACTGCCAGAGATCCTGGAATATCACCACTTTAGTCATACGCAATAAAGTCACATATTAAAATATTGCAGTAAGATTTTAATTTATAATAATTAATTAATTTAATAATAATTTATGCATTTAGCAGACGCTTTTATCCAAAGCGACTTACAGTGCATTCAGGCTATAAATTTTTTTTACCAGTATGTAAATACTGATTTTGCATATCATTTCATATCACATCATACATAGATAGATAGAATGATGGATGGATGGATGGATGGATAGATGGATGGATAGACAGACAGACAGACAGACAGACAGACAGATAGATAGATAGATAGATAGATAGAACAAATGGATGATAGATAGACAGACTGATAAATAGACAGATAAATAGAACAAATGAACGAACGAACGAACGAATGATAGATAGACAGACAGACAGACAGACAGACAGATAGATAGTTAGACAGGCAGGC